ACCTTTGCCTTACTAGCTAGAAAAAGAATGAACAAGGGCTTGGAGAGATGGGTGAGTGGTTAAGGGCACATACTTCTCTTCCTGAGGACCTGAGTTAGATTCCCTGCACCCACATCAGGTAGCTTACAACTGCCTGTAACCCCAGCAGCCAGGAGAATTGACACATTCGTGTGCACATATACCTCCTCCCTTCCATGCACACACATAATTAAAATAATAAAAGATAATAGTAATAAAAGGAATGAATAAACTTCCCTTAAGGAAACACTTTGCAGGCAAACCCATTACCCCTCCCAGACTTAGAGCCTTAAAAGAGAGGTCACTAGGTCACTAGGATGTACCAGAAGCTCTTGGGGTGTGGCCTGAACAGTTTGATGCAGATGATTAAGGAACCAAGCCAGACGAACATTTCGAGAGATTCGGTAATCTTTCTTCATTAACAGAAACACCTGCCCAGCTTCTTCCACCTGATGAGAGAGACAAAAGAAGAAAAAAAAAATGAGGTCTTGAGTTCCAAGTACATATACATCCCACAGCGAGGGAAAAGGCAGCAGAGGGGAAGTCTACCCTTGCTATTATGGAAAGTGTTCCCATCACAGACCCTCATGTAGATGAAGGGAACTTACCTCTTACAGCATGTTTCCACAAACACTATGTGAGTTCCTCCTGCAAACCACAAGCCCCTTAAGGTAGGAGAGGTGCTTGCTCTCGTTTTTGTGACCTTGTGCTTGGCAAACTGATTCATATGAGACCCAGTAAGTCTCCAATTTGCTACATGAGCATTTGGCAGTTACTGCCTCAGCCTTGCCCATAGCAGACACTGAAGAAACCTTCGCTGAGTAAATTTAAGATTTCAGAGGGAATGAGGCCTCCTAGGTGGTCTCAAATCCAGCTCCTGAGGGCCAGTCTCCACTCACACACCTGTCAATGTCAGTGGCATCTTTACTTTCCTACTATACAAACCTCTCTCAGCAGTGACTCAGGGCATACTCTCTGTGCACACAGGAAGCAGCCTGTCATTTTGTCAATGTGGTAAATCTTAACAGGCTTGGTGTCTTGGTCAGCAGCCTTTTTGATCCCTCTCCCTCCTTTGATCCCTCTCCCTTCCCAGGTTTTTCCACCCCCTCCCAAGCCTGTACCCCCAGAAGAACAACTTGTCTACCATTCACAAAAACTGAATAATCACCTTAGCTATTGTATCATTACAAACTGAAATAAGCATGTAGTTTTACAACAGCAAGAGACAAAGTGACCTGATCATGTTTAAGGTCTTAGGAGGATGGGATGAAGATCCAGCAGTTTGCTATGCTGGACAACCCAGATGGAGGGCAGAAACCAGCTGCTGTGGTACTGAAAGCCCACTGGAGCACTCGAGCATTGAACTCCAAGTACAACTTCCATTTCTTTACCTTGCTCTTGCTTTCAAAGCTGTTTTGAATGACTGCTTTTTCCAAGGTCCAACTGAAGTCTGGTTCACCTGTCAGTTCTTATGGAATCCATCTTGAAACCAGGAATGTTTGCCTAGCTTTCTCGTAAAACTTCCTTTTATCTGATTCTCTGATGGGACCATTTCCAAAACCTCCTAAGTTGTCTTACACTTAAGACGTACTTCATCAGATCCAGAAGGCTGGCTTAATATAATTGAAGCAGGCAGAATGCTTTTTAGAGGGTTCCGAGCACCAGCTGCATCAGAATCACCTGAGCTGTTTATTAAAATGCATATTTGACTCCTGGGTACCATCAGAGTCCAAATGAATTAAGAGCTGAGAGAGCCCAAGAATCTGCATTTTAACTAGCTCCCCTGGGGGACTTTTCCATATTACTGATTAAGAAATGTTTTAATCAGTTGTGTTTCATGGCATTCACATTCACATGGAGCTTCCAGACCTGGATTCCAACCTCCCTTGAGTCTGATGTGCCTACCTTTCGAAGCAGTCTGAGAAACAAGACAAAGCAGGCTCTTGGAGTCAGAGACCTGGATTCTGATGTGCTCTAGTATATGCTATGCATGTGATCTTGCAGGTTAACAAATTGTTTTCCAGCCTTCAATCTCTTTATTGTAATAGCTAGATAAGGATATCTTGGTAGGGATACTGCAATTAAAGAGGTGAGAAAGGACAGTGGTATAGGGAGGCTATCATCACTGGTTATAATAGTCACTGAAGCCTACATACATTTACGTCGAGATGGATAAAGTGATTGCTAGGCACTGTGTGGCTTCCCTCCTCCCTCCCCCAAAGTTTGTTTCTGCCTCTTTAAGACAAAGGACCAAATTACTCTCTGAGCTTTTTATAAACTATGTGCTGTCTTCCCACAAAATAGCGTCAATACCCCTCTCCCCCGACTATCTGAAGCCTCTCACCATTATGAACCTTAACCTCTGGCAGAACCTCGAGCTGAGCCTTCTCTCTCCCAGTCTCAGCCCCCTCACCCACCGCTATGGTAAAAGCAGGCACTTTGGGTGGAATGCTGGCTCTGCGAGTTTCTTCATTCCTGAGCAGGGATAACAAGAGTGACTATCTCCTGAGGACCAAATCTGGATTAAGATACTTAGAGAACTTAAACTTCCCGAGTCCCACCTAACTGCTCACGGAAGAAGGTTAAATGCCCCATTAAACGTTACACTTCCTCACTTGCTTCTTTGCAACACCTATTGTAAGCCGATGTTCACTCAGTCCACAGAGCTAAGGAGTCTGCGTCTTACCTTCCGCCTCCACCCTAACCCTCAGCACAACTCTGGCTCCAGAGCAGCCCTTTCGTCTCTCTTTTGGGAGCCTAACCTCTCTAAACATCACTTTTCCTTCTTGGTATTTCTTCTTGATATACCCGATGTGTGTGTACCCATACATGATACATATATACGCACTTTGTGTGTGTATACACATAGTACACACGTGTCATAGTGCACATGTGCAGGTCAGAGGACAACTTGTAGCTCTAGAACTAGATCACCTACTTGGGAGTTCGAGTCCTAACCCTAGCTGCACAACTATGCTTCTTTTAAATTTGCACATCAGTTACCTGAAAAGGGGGGCGATAATGGTGTTTATCTTCTAGGGTTGAAAGAACTGGTAACAGGAAAGAGTTCACAATGGTGGCTGGCATGCAGTAAGAATTCAACAAGTAGCCGTTACTATTTGTATCTTTACACACATCCACCACCCTTCCCTCCTACAGGGCTATTCCTCTGGAGTCCTGGATATTCCAGCCAAATCCAAGGTTTTGGTTCCTCTTCAGATCCTCTAGTTCGGTTAGAATGAGTAGTCTGAAGGTATCTTTGCCTGGCATGACACCTCACCTGCTCTTGACCTCAGTTGTCTGCTATGTACATAAGAGCAAATACTTCCAGATTCCCTGGCTGGAGTCTGACTGTCAAAACATACATATAGGGTTCTTTGCATCTAGAGGGGGTGGGTGCCTCATCTGCCTTTTCTGACTTAACCTGTGATCCCCAAGCCACATCACAGAACAAATATTTTTATAAAAAAGGAAACAGGGCCTGCCCAGAGTTAAGACTGCAAAGAAGGTTGCAGGGCTTTGCCAAAAACACGAACGCTAGAGCGAAATCAACTGATGCTATTGATTGCATTCCAGTTGATGAGATACAAAAACTCCGCAACGTCGGTCAGCTTTGGCTTGGCGCAATGAAAATCCCAACTAATAACCAAAACACGAGTTTTATCAACACCACTATCTCCAAGTCTGTGGGTGGGAGACGAGGATCAGGATGGCATCTGAGTAAACAAAACAGCAACGGCCTCCTCGAGGCTCCGGAGGGTGAAGGCTGCCACATGCCTGCCCTCCGGCCTCGGCCCCGCGCCCACCCATCCCTCACCTCTGGCTCGGGGCGCTCCGAGGCCATCACACAGCCCTCCCGCGCCGGCCCGGGCCAGAGAGGTTGCTCCACTCCTGACCTCTGACCCAGCTAGTTCTGTACCCGGCAGGAAACGGAAGTCGTTGGGATGGTCCCGTTTTGAGTTTTCTGATTGGTGAGCGCAGCTGGCGAGAAACCGGAAGAGGAAGTGGTTGCGCCACCCGGGCCGTGGCAATGCAGGTGAGAAGCGGGTTGGGCCTTTTAGCCGCTGGCCGGAGGGTGGGCGGGCTGAGGACACCGGGGAGTTGGGGCTGTGAGCCGAGGGCAGAGGCCTCGGCTGTTTGAGGAAAGACAGCGGAGCAAGAGAGAGCGAGGGAAGGCGCGGGGATTGAGCCCGCTGACGTGAGAAGGTCGGAGGCTCAGGGAGGAAAGGCGGACTTGATTGAGTGTGGGAAAGGATCGAGTTGGCATTTGGGAAGGCTCGAGACAGTAGTGGGCTTCCCCACGCCTCGATCTAGGCTGTTGGACACAGGCGTAATAACCCTTCAGAAGGCTGAAGGGATTGTGGGCCTCCAAGGATAAAAACTAAGCTGTTTGTAATCCGGAGCTGTGGGTGGAACCCGTGTCCAACCCCCTCAGTCACATAGTCGGGTTTGCAAATCAGCTTTGCATCATTCTTCCCTGCTTGTACCCAGTTGCTAAGGGCGGAGAAGTGGAGTAACTAGTCCACAGATAATCAAACGGAAACCCTCTACCGGCTCAGTGTTTAAAATTAATTGTCTAGCACTCAGAAACAATGTGCCGGTTTCCTCGCCTTTGTCTTTCATTACTCACTTGGTTTGTTGCATCTGATAATCCTACACTGTTTATGGGTCACCCGAGTTTACGAAAGAGACACTGGAATATTGGCACAGAGATACACGAGTGCACGTTGACTCTCTAAAGCACCAAATGCTATGGATAAACGGCCAGATGGGGGACCGGGGAAGGGATTGCAGAGCTGGTGTGCAGAGAAAGCCTTACACAGAGGCAAGGTGTAAGATTCTCCAGATTGTGTTGTTGACAGTAGCTACACTCACAAGTTAGAGGATGACCAGAGGCACCCATGATATAATGGACTTCGAAAATTCTTTATGGCTTTTGTGTGTAGATAGCACCCCTGCTATCGTGTCAAACCTTTCTGTGGTGTACTGAACTTCCTGAAAAAAAAAAAAATGGCAGTGCCAACATCACAGAATGACACAAGAGGGATTCTCCATCCACCCAAGGAGAGCAACACAATAACAGTAAGCAGTAGTGTGGTAGGCAGACTATGTCAATTTTCCAGAAAAGGGCCCTACAAAGGAGATTGTGCAGAAACTCGAGCATGTTCTTGTTAACCCTACTACAGATCTAAGAGAATGTTGCCTGTTGGGAGAGGCAAGGGTTTTTGAGCTGGAAGGAGAAGAGAATTGAAAAAATAAAGTGCTAAGTGAGTTCTAAGCCAATTTTGTTACAAAGACAACAAAATCATGAGGTCACAAGCCAAAGGAAATTAAGTCTTGGTGCAATGTTCTTCTTGAAGGACTACAGTGTAGGAGGATTATAGAGGAATCAGTTAGTAGGAGGACTTGAGGCCAGGTGAACAGGTTGAAAGGTCTCAGGGTTGATGCTATCTGTAACCCAAATACTAAGACAGAAAACAATTTAGCTTTTCTGTATGTGTCGCACTCACTTGTATCTGAGTAACCAAACATGCTATTGATGCAGAGGGAGGAGAAGCAGCTTGAGGCATCATTAGATGCCCTGCTGAATCAAGTGGCCGATCTGAAGAATTCACTGGGGAGTTTCATTTACAAGCTGGAAAACGAGTATGACCGGCTGACCTGGTAAGGATTGCCAGGACAGGCTGGGGAGGGATCCACGGGTGGTAGGGCCAAGCCCCCTGACTGACAGGATGTCTCCAACGATATAACTATTTATCAGTGTGCAAATATCCCTTTTGATTTGGAAAGAACTAGGTTGCCCAACATTGAAAAGTATAGTTTGGCTTAAGGCCTCCGTGGCAAGGAACTAAAAAAATGGCCAGTTCTCCAACCTAGGCTGTTTCTAGGTTTTAATTCTTACGATTTGGCTTCTTTGGTGAGGAGGCATTTCCTCAGTGGAAGGCCATTATAGCTACATTTATGCTGGATCTCCTTCCACACATGACTGAATCTGAGGTCCAACCTTCTGGAATGATAGAGTCTGTTACTACATTAGGGAGGAGGCTTTCCACACTTACCACAGTGTAACCACAGTTCCTGTCTCCACTGCTCCCAAACCCATTCAAACAATGGGTTGCCTTTTTTTCTATGTCTATGTCAAAAATTTTAAGTGTGTTTCTCTTTCCCAGTTTCATCTCTGTTGGCAAATCTGATTCTTGCCTATGCTAGTCATAGGGCTGCTAGTCTTCTGGGGGTGAGTCTGAGTGTTGCAACATTAGGAACTTTAGAGATTACTTTGTAGGAAAAAGTAATTCTCATGACTTCTTACCACGTCCAGGCCCTCTGTCCTGGACAGCTTTGCATTGCTCTCTGGGCAATTGAACACTCTGAACAAGGTCTTAAAGCATGAGAAGACACCACTGTTCCGTAACCAGGTCATCATCCCTCTGGTGCTGTCCCCAGACAGAGATGAAGACCTCATGGTAAGATACAGTTGTTGACTGGATCCTCTGTGTGGCAATGAAAAGTGAGGGCTGCTGGCTGGAAGACTTGCCATTTTATCCATCTGGAGACAGGAGAGTCACTCTTAAATAATGAAGTGAAAACCCAAGGCCTCTTGCCACCAAGTCCATGACCTTTCTTTTCCAACATCTGTGTCAGGCAAAAAGAAAAAGTCTGTCTTGCTTCCCTGTGACTTTGTCTGTTCCAGTCTTTAAAATAATATGGGGTTGGGAATTTAGCTCAGTGGTAGAACAAACACAAAGTTCTGGGACCTCAGAATAGGGGCGGAGGTGGAGATTCACAAAAGACCAAAACAAAACAGCCACAAAAAGACGGTTTCGTTGTGGTAGTGGAGGGTGGAATTTAGTTTGCCCTAGTTCTGATAGAGTGAAAAGAAAGTGTCATAGAAAGCTACATCTCTGCCTCGGGTTGTGTTGTCTCTGAAAATGCATTTTCTGATGGATGGGAAGTAGGGTTAGAATCTGCTTACTTGGGTAGCACCATAGGATCAATCCAATCAATAATAATCTTTGTTACAGCGTCAAACTGAAGGACGAGTGCCTGTTTTCAGCCATGAAGTTGTCCCTGACCATTTAAGAACCAAGCCTGACCCTGAAGTTGAAGAGCAGGAGAAGCAGCTGACCACAGATGCTGCCAGAATTGGTGCTGATGCAGCTCAGGTTGGACTGAGTCACTGTTCTGCTACCTCATTCTCATCCTTCATAAGAAGCAAGACTTTACCAAGGCTGTGGAATAGGGGTGTGGGGTTGCTCACAGCTAGGCTGCCTCTGGAAGAGCACAAGGAAGATGCTTCCCCAGAATCATTACTAATCACTACATTAATTCATGTGTGTTACAGAAGCAGATCCAGAGCTTGAATAAAATGTGCTCAAACCTTTTAGAGAAAATCAGCAAAGAAGAACGAGAATCAGAGAGTGGAGGTAAGGGGGGTGTGGCAGCATAGAAGGGGAGCTGCATAAGATCACTGATAGCAACCGTGCTCTACCTAATAGTGAAGTAAGAGCATAAGAATGAACTTCTGGGACTGGCAAGATGGCTCAGTGGGCAGAGGCACCTGTCTGGCCTAAGTTTGATCCCTGGGACGGACCTACATGGTGGAAGGGGAGAACCAACAAGTTGTCCTCTGACCACCAACAGAAAATAAATAAAAGTGATTTTAAAAAAGAAGAGTCTGTTCCTCTTCTGAGCAGAGGCAGTCACCCTCTTGTGTCTTTCCCAGTAAGTCTCTAGTGTGAGGTTTGTTGTGCCATGTGACTTTGTGGTATTCCTTGGCTCCTAACCACTAGGATACCTTTCCTCTCAGAGCTGTAACACATTGGTGCCATGACTTGTATAGGCTCTCATGGTGCCTGTGCTCCCCTTTGGGGTCTGAGCTACGCCTGCGGCAAGGCGAGTAGGAGCAGGGTAGGAGAAGAAGGAAGAACTGGTAAGGGTCTGTAGCCTCTTAGTATTGCTTGTTTAAGACTATCCCTAAAGCACGTAGAGGACATAGACAAAGTCAAAGTTTAAGATAGGTTTGGGGACTGTTAGCTCTTCGATGGGGCTGGGGGAGTCTAGATGTTGCTGCAGTCAGAACTGTAGTGGGTTTAGTCCAGAGCTGGACACACACTTGAGGGTTCTTGCTTTTTTTTTCCAGGTCTCCGGCCAAACAAGCAGACTTTCAACCCTGCAGACACCAATGCCTTAGTGGCAGCTGTTGCCTTTGGGAAGGGGCTGTCTAATTGGCGACCTTCAGGTAGCAGTGGTCCTGGCCAACCCAGCCAACCAGGAGCTGGTACAATCCTTGCAGGAGCCTCAGGATTGCAGCAAGTTCAGATGCCTGGTGCTCCAAACCAGCAGCAGCCAATGCTCAGTGGAGTCCAGATGGCTCAGTCAGGTCAACCAGGTAAGGCGACATGGACTGACTGCACACGAGTGTGGGGATGAGCTAGATCATCTAAGCCTCCTTCCCCCTCCCCCTCCCCTAAGACCTGGAAATGTGCCTCCTTTGCATTGTCACCCCCAAAACAGTTCAAAGCTCTGCAACAGGTACCAGAGCGTTAAGAAGGACCTTGAGTAGCAGAAGCTGGGTTGCTGTTTACTTCCATCTCAGACTTTTGTTTCACCTGTCCTGTTTATTCTGGGTGTTAGCGTGTGTCTCTTAGGTTAGAGAGGCTAGCCCTTAATCAAGACCATTTGGTAGATAATCACTTATGAATTAACAAGCTGGCAGTTTTCCAGTCCTTCATGGATCCTTCCCTGCACCCTGTCCCCTGGCCTTGGCTTCCTGACTTCTCTCATGCTCATTTTATTTACTGTGAGAGCGGTCTGATGGGACTCACGGAGGCAGCCGCAAAGCTCTGTGGGCAGGCTGTCTAGGGAGAGAGACAACTGTAACAACTGAGAACACAAAACTCCTCCCCTGTGACATGAAGCGGGCCACATGAGTTCCCTGTCTTTTCTGGAAGTAGATGAGCAGAAGACCAGTCTAGGGGAGAGGGCTGTTCAGACCCCTCCTCTTCTCTTTCAGAGAATCCCTTTCTCCCTAGATATCTTTAGTCAGGGAACTGACTGAAGAGTCACAGCCTGTAATCTCTGTCATCCAGAGTCAGAGGCCACAGAGGTTCTGAGATAGAAGAGACAGCAAGAAGGAATCTGAGAGGCTGCATTTCTGATTTATTGTGAAAGTTTACCTTGCTTCAGATATCTCTCTTTCTGTCATTTTTAGGGAAAATGCCAAGTGGAATAAAAACCAACATCAAGTCAGCCTCAATGCATCCCTACCAGCGGTGAGTGTGGACGGCAGCCTCCACTCTCAGGTGATCCGTGCTGAGTTGAGCAATGAAATTTATCTTTTGCTCAAGGCTTATTTAGATGGGTACAATAAAAGGAACACAGGCTTTCAGCAAGAGACAGACCTCAGCTCCACTGTGACTAGCCATGAGAACTTGGGAAAGTGACCTAATGTTTCTCATTTGTAAATGGTGATAATACCTACCTCATAGGGTTGTTGTGAGGATTAAAATGAGAAGATGAGTGTAAAAAACACTTAGCACAGTATACGAAATACTGGGTCTTGAATAAATGATAGTTTCCTACCTTTCGACCCTGCCATTCCTTGTCCTACACACAGAACTTACCATGATTTGGTTCAACTCCATGACAACGGTGATCTAAAGGGCACAGGATCAAGTAATCCAGGAACCATGGTGGCCTGTGTGTCTTGGGGGCATACGTCTCCACAGGCCCACCTGTCCAGGTTCTATCCTGCTGGCCCTAAAAGCTACAGGTGAGGGAGGAGGTTTCTAGGGGACACTGTGCACTTCCAGGTCTGATGAAACCAGCTCAGCTTTTACCTGGGAAATAGGTAAAAGTGCCCATCTTTTACCCTTCTGTGCTTCTAAAGATTTCCCGAGACCAGCGGGTGGGAGATCTCTTAAGAAGGGACCCTGTCAGGCAACAGCACAAATAAATATTGTCTTCCTCCTTTGAGGGCAATTGTGTTTCACACTGACATGGATTGGGGTTCATTTGTCCACACAGTAACTACTCCCTGTTTCTGTCCTCTTCCACCTCACTAAGTGTGTGGCTCAGATTAGATCTGGATTGAAAGTGGGAAGGGTAACAGCCCCATTCATCTTGCCTGCTTTTGTAGAGTTGACGAACAGTGGATTTTTGGATAGCCAGCCATGTTGCCTTTCTCAGCGTTCTTTTCTGGGCAAGGGCAAGGGCAGGGATTGAGTCAGCAGAAGTGGGCCAAAGGGTTTCTTTGTTCAATAAAGATATTTAAATTATGTTCACTGGCTCAGGGTTGTCTGACTGAAGTTTATAAGCTATTTACTAGGCAGTTCTAATTTGTTCTCCTTAAAGTATTCCCTTAGCTTTAATTTTCTTTAATTTAAAAACCCTAAGACTTCCAGCTGTGCTGTTTGTGTTCTCTTGTGTTACATACTAGAGCTTTGGCCTTTGGTCTGTCAGACAGCATTCTACCAGGCTGTGGCAGTAAAGGCCTGGAAAAGTGGTCCTCTGGTGCTGGTCTGTGAAGACATGAATGGTGTTGACAGCTAACTGACCACAGCACACTGCACCAGGGGAGTCCTGTCATGTGCTCTGAGGCAATACCAAACCTTTCCCCCACTTCAGTAGGCTAGCCCATCAGCCCATCCAGGTGTTTATCTCCTCATCTCTTTCCTTCCCACTAAATGTCAAAGCTACCCGGGGTATTATGTAGAGCTCTAGCCAGACTTCTTCAGACTTTCCATATCGTCAGGTGACAGTTCTTCCTTACTCCACCTGTTACCAATCCCGAGAGTCTTTGCTGTCCAGCTGAACTGACTTCATTCCTACCGTACTATTGAAATGGGCTCCCTGTCCTCCAAGAACAGGACTATCTTCCTGCTGCAGGAGGAGCACATTCAGGCCCTCACCTACATCCAGCGCCTATAAGCAAACACTGCAGTGGTGGGAGGCGCCCACACCTCTCAGTCACTCTGGTAGCTGTCATTTCCACCACCTCCTCCCTCTAGAATGTTAGCATACAAATCTGTCGTCTCCCACTTTGGGGCTCATATACCAGTTGGCCCCACAATGAAAAGAAAATCTGGAACCCCTACTACTTGGAGTATGTGGTGGAGTTGTATGTGGAGGTGCCTGTGAAAAAGAGAACTGCTTACTTGCTCAGCTTTGGGGTTACAATTGTAAGATGACTTGTACGACTCCAGCATTCCTGCTTCTGACTGTCTTCTGCTGGGGGACTGTACTTTCTACTGCATTCAGGACCCTTGGAAAGGGGGATTGGATGGACAAAGGTCTTCTCAATTGTCTCTCAGGCTTGTTTCTGGCATGGAGAAAGCAACAGGTGTGAAACTTTGAGTGCTTCCCACAGTGGTTCATCCCACTGAAGGAGGAAGCTTATGGAATCACTGTCAGTTCAAAGGAGGTTGCCCAAGACCTCTTCCCTCTAGTGCTGTCCTGAGGCTGGGATTCAGTCATTACTGATTGCCCTGGTCACCTTGTTCTTTTTTTTCTTCCACTGTGAATTGCTGCCCTACTTAGCTAGCTCACAACACTTAACTGTACCTTTTGGGAACAACAGCTAAGATAGGTAGGTTGTAGCCACATGTTCCTTGAAGCTCTGTGGAGTGCCAGCACTGGGTCCAGGCTAGAGAGGAAGTGATTGCTCACCTCTTACTCTGCCGCTAAAAGGAAGAAGCTGAACCCTGCAGGAATGCCCCAATGTGAGGCTGAGCCCATGTCCCACCCCCTCCACACCTCCCCCAAGCAGCTGGAAACAACCTCCCCCTTTGTCTGAGTTTCTTGTACAGAATAATCCTCCTTCTGGACAATGTATTCTCTGTGTCCTGTGGACACAGGAGCCGTGTGAGCCGATCCCAGCACTAGGCAGGACGGAGGCTGAGTCTTTCCAAACGCCCACCCTGGTCAGCTCCTGATGAAAGTCCAGTGCAGCTACTAAGGGTTGGACAGCTTTTCCTGTGTGCTCCAGATCTGAGTGGCAGGAGGGCCTTTTGTGGTTTAGCTCTGGCCAGTTGGATGAGCAGGAGTTGTAGTTCCTTTTCTGGTCTGCCCCAAGTGCTTAAGCACCAGCTTAGAGAAGTTTGATATGATTCTTTTCTCAAAGTCTACAGGGGCTAGTGCTTGGAAAATGGTAGGAGCAGGAAGTGACTCGTCTGGCAAGCCATGATGCTCCATCATGTCACATGGACATCAATGGGTACTCTGCTCCACAGGACAAACTTCTCTCGTATAGCAATATGTCTCTCTTGTTCCTGACTTCCATGTGTCACTGAGGCAGAGCCTGGGTCCCTCTAATGTGGTCTCTTGTTTAGAGTCACCTGCCTTCAGAATGTGACCTGGGTACATACTCCTCCCAGGAGGCATGGCATGGACCACAGCTCTTGAATTCCTTGGTCCTCCCTTACATCTGAATGACCCGGTGATCTTTCTGCTGGGAAGTCTAACACTGGCTCCAAAGCCCACACGAGCAGGCTTTCTTTCCTGTTTTCTTTTCTTTACTGCATAGCTCTATTACTTGAATAGGGTAGGTCTCCTAAATACCTGAAACCCCTAAGAGCTCCTCCTAACCTCGGTCATGAGCTTCATCTGGACCATGTCCCTAGCACGGTGTGCTATCTTTCATGTCATCCTTGTGAAGATAAATCAAAGAGGGGCTGAGGTGGCTGTGGATTAGATGTCAAAACCTTCTACTCACAAACATCTTTCTCCTCTGGACAAAATTTTCTGGACAGTATGGAAAGATTGTTTTCAGTCCAGAAAATTATTCCTTGTATAATTCCGATTATCCCTGTCTATTTGGCCCATAGTTCCCATAGATTCTGGATGTCCAGACCCAGTCATTCTTCCCGACATACCTATTTTCTAGTTTCCCTGGGACTAATCTAGGCTAGGCATATGGAAGCATTCTAAACTATCTGTCTTATGTGTTCCCAGCTATACTCCCGCCCCGGGTGTTAGAGTAGCTTTACATACTGAACCAAATACAAGGCACCCAAGTGGCTCCCTCTTTACTTCCTGCCTCTCTACTGCTACTGTTGTTCTCTCCCCATACGTCCCTAGTGTCTGGTCCTTCAGATTGCTGTGTTTTGCTCACACCCCACATGGGGGGGGGATCTTTTATTCTTTATGCTAATTTCTCTGGAATACACCTGTCTTGATAGCCTGGTTAATGTTTTAAGAGTCTTCTATAGTAGAAACCTTTCTTGGCTCTTATGTCCTTTCTCTGGCTCTGTTCTTGTTACTTACCGTCTCCGTAGCACTCAGCAACACTAACCATCTGTCAAGTCTGTTTCCCTGCATTGGCTTCTACCGCAGCCTTCCCACTCTCCCACATCACTGGCTATCTCTTCTCAGCTCCTTTTGGACTTCTGAACTGCCACCTTGGTTGCTGTTACTCTCGACTCTCTGCTCGTCTACTTCCCTGTCTTAAGCTACTTGCCTTCTATATGACCACCATTTTTTTTGTGTACAACTCAAACACATTTTGTTTTCAGCCCAGATCTCTGCTGAATTATAGGTTGCTGTTTGGATATCTCTGTTTCGTTTGACTCACAGTACCACAGGTTCCAGCTGTCCAAATATAGTTGTTTTCTCTCCACGCTTATTCTTCCTCTCGTTTTCCTCAGCCCTAAGCCCTATAGTTTAAGGTGTGGGAGAACATACCTCCCCTCTCACCAGTGCAACACTGAGTTTTGTCAGTTTGTCTCTCCAACACGGAATCTGTCTTCACTCAGCTGAACTTCTGAGCTTGCTCTCAAGTGACAATATTATTCACACAGACTCCCTGCCTCTACACTTGGAAACTGCAGCTTCTCTACCAAAAGTCTGCTAGATCTTTCTAGACTACAGATCTGATCCAATTACTCCCTTGCTCAAAATCTTTGGACAGTTCACTCCCTGTATTTCTAGGAGGTTGGTAAGGACAGTATTCCAGGCATAAAAGCTATAGGATAAAATCATTCTGTAATTTTCATTTTACTTGAGGGTAATTTAAAATGAAATGCAAATCCAGCGTGTGTGTGTGTGTGTGTGTGTGTGTGTGTGTGTGTGTGTAAGAGAAGGGAGCTAAGAACTGAGGCAGACACAGTAGGAATTGAGTCCAGAGCTTCTCTGTGTGATAGGTAATAGGTAGGTGTTTTCTATGGAGCTCAGAGCCTCTATTGGTGATAGGCAGATGTTCTGTACGGAGCTCCATTTCCATCTTGCTTTTCGCTTTCATTTTGAGGCAGGGTCACACTAAGTTGCCCAGGATGCTCTTCAATTTACAGCTCAGGCTCCAGCATTGAACTTGGGATTCTCCTGCCTCAACTTCCCAATAACCTGAGATTACCAATCTGTGCTAGCAGGTCCAGCTACATAGCCATTATTAGGAGGAAAAGATTTCAAAGACATATGGATTGAAGGACTTCAGACTCAGCTGGCAGACTCCCTGGGGCTATTTTAGAAGTAGCTCTCGTTTTGTGGAAAGGCAAGTGAGATTCTTTGACCTAGTTGCCTGCCTTCTGGGTTATCTACTATATATTGACTTGTTACTTACCTAATTCCAAAAGCCATATAAACGTTGTAGTGTAACCAGTTCTTGTGAGCCTCCATTTTTTCTACTATGTCTTAACATTCTGTCTGATAGTCAACCATAGTTCTTTTGGGAGAGAGGATTAAACCAGTCTAGAACTCTTGGTAATCCTCCTGCCTGAGCCTCCTAATCACCACGCCAAACTCCCAGTCAACTTAAAAAAAAAATTATTTATGTATATGAGTGCTCTAGCTGCATCATCGTGATGCAAAAAGGACATTGGGCCCCATTACAGATGGTTGTCAGCCACCATGTACTTGCTGGGAATTGAACTCAGGACCTCTGCAAGAGCAATAAGTGCTCTTAACCATTGAGCCTTCTCTCCAGCCTCCAAATCAACTTTTAAAACTGAACTCCCTGTCACTTCTCTGTAAGTCCAGTATCCCAGCCTGTCCACAACTCAATGCCACTGCCATCTAGAAAGGTCAGTGACCTCCTCCCTTATGCTCCACTTCTACCGTGTACAAATGTCTTCTAGCTCCTCCTGCATTTTATTGTCCTTCCAGCTCAAGCACCTTGAACTGTCAGAGTTTGAGCTATGTGGTCTGTGGTATTCCATAGCATGTGGCCGTCATAAACACCACCCACGGAAGTGTTGTTATTATTTCTATTATGATTCATTTTTGTAGTGGTAGTATGAAGTAACTGAGCTGCTTAGTGGTGCATACCAATAATTATAGCACCCAGGAGGCAGAGGC